GTGAGCTAAGAAAATGTTTATCTCCCTGAGCTTGGCCTTCATAATTCCATTCCATCACAAACTGGCTTTCAGGAGCCAGGTGGGAAAAAGTGGGATGAGGATCAAGCCCTGTAGGAATGTGAGCCAAACCCAGATAGCTTCTATCTGAAAACATCTCCATGCTCAGAGAAAAAAAACCGCTAACCATCATTCCATTTGGGAGTGGACACCCCCAGGCCATGGACATTTTTCCTGCCCTTTCACTTGCAGCTTCCAGGACTTTGGAATCGTGACTTCCTGCTAACTTGCAGAGGGGGAAGGAAAGAAGGAAAGGAAGGAAGGAAGGCATAAGAGAGAAAAGATGGAAGACTGACTGAAAAAGATTCTGAGAGTGAATTAGAGGAGGGTGAGTGGGTGGGAAGAAGGAACACTGCATGGGCTTTGCGTACTTAAATGAACAAATGAGAAAAAATAAAGTCTACGCTTGCAATGGCAGAATATGCAGGACTCTTCCAGATGTGAAGCTTTTCTATGACGGTGTATCAAATAAACCAGCCCGTTAAAGAGAGCAATCTGAATCTTGCTATGCTGGTTTTGGGGGGGGGGGGCGCAGATTCTACTTGCTTTCCCTTGCAGGAAGTTTTGCCATGAACATGGCTAACCCTGCTCACAGCTGGAGGTGGTACGGCCCTTCCTGCCACTTCCAAAACTACAGAGACAGCCATATTAATAGGCAGGGTCACTGCCTGAAGTTACCTCCGGAGGGGACCCTCCCCTCACCTTTATGAGGACAAAAACAAGCACTGGAACAAAATCGTCTGCCCCGGGAACCGAATCCTCATTTGCTAAGCTTAGCAGGTTCATGATGGTCGAGCACATCCTCAGCACACACTGCAGCTTGTCTCGGGGAGTCTTGTAGGCGCTGATGGTCCGGATTTCGGCCTGGGCCGATGGCCAGGGTGCTTCCCGCAGGTAGACCTGTGAGGAAAGGAGGTGGTTTGCTCTTTAGAGAAGCCGTCCAAGTCAGCAGTTCTGGGGGTCCCTATGCAGGGACTTCAACTCCCAGCCTTCTCAGCATCAGCCATGCTGGTTGGGGAATTCTGGAAGTTGGAATCCCCACATCTGGAGGACACCCAGGCTGAGGAAGGTCTCAGATATAAACTCCAAACCACGCGTATCCACCTACATGTTCATCTTTCCCAACTAGATGTTCTCCAACTCTACTGGGTTACAATTTGCCGTTCTCCCCTTCTTTCCTGCTCCCCAATTGTTGGCTAGTTTGGCACAGGTAAGCACACAAGCCTGCCTCCGATTCTAGCATTCAGGCCCTTGCAATCAGAGGGAAGGGACCCAGCTCAGAACTTTGACTTTCGTTACCTCTGGTATCTGAAGGGCTTTATGGTTTGCTGTCACCACTTTGGACAATCTTTGGATGTGATCATGAAGAAGCCTACAAATGACAGAGCAGAGGGGAAGACAAGATGGGAAGATCCTGTCGATTCCAGTCTTAATCATTTTTCTTCATTAGTTCTACCCCCAACTCCCCAAACAAGGCTGTATTTTAAAATGTGATTAAAGCTTTACAGACCCTTTGAAGCCTTTAGACCCAACCAAATCTCCCCTCACAATAGAAAAAGCACGTACATTGAACACATGTGTGTGAAACGAGAATACAGATATAAACCACCAGCAAGCCACACTCTCGCTCACACTGATGTTGTTACCTAGCTGGACCATGAAATGTCTGCAAGAAAACCACCAAGCTCAGAGAACTCCAAGAACCCAACATTCAACTCTGAGCTGCATCTATTCTCTACTAGTGGATACAGAAGTCAGTCAGACCGAATATGTTCTCAACCACAAGCAAACTCAGGACAGCAGAAGATGGTGGTTTCAAAAACGACCTGCCATCATCTGTGTTAGTTGAGACCTGAGGGCCAAAAGGAGAGAAGCCAACCAAACTCACTGATCCCGCAGGATGTCTCCGTCCTGATTGGGGTAAAAGGCCAGCTTGAAGATGCGGTTCATGACGCTGCGTTCGATCACCAGCTGAGCGTCCTGGAGCTGTTCCTCACTAGCGTTCTGCCAGATGACATCCTGGGCCATTGCCCCATAGAGGAACTGGAGAAAATCTTCTACCTGTGCAGTTTTGTCGTCCGCTGCTGTCAGCTTCTGGAAATCTTTGGGCAGGGAGCAGGGGGAGGTTGAGGTGTTGGGGAGGAAGAGGAGGGGAAGATTCTCCCCACCCCAGAGCTCCTCAGCATCAGTCTTCCCCCAAGTTCCCAGTTCCTGGGTTGTCCTTCACGGGAAGTCTGAACTGGGGAATTCTTGCCGTAATACTTTTTCTTTGCATGTCCAGACACCCAAAGAAAGAGTAGCTTAGGGACACTTCCCTAGCAAAGGTGTTTGGGCTTAGTACACCCAAGATGCACAATACCATATGCCATGCCTTCCCTAGGACCTTCTATGACATCCAACATTTTGACCAACGGCAGGCCACCACAGCCGCTCACCCAAACGCTGCTAAGGTTTCATGAACAGAAGATAGAAGTCAATTTATTCAACATCTATCCTGCCCTTCCTCAAAGCTCCCTTCCTTTAGCCTTTCCAAAGAATAAACCTTGAGTTTCGAACTGAAGGGGGCAAGATGATTTCATCTGTCTCTTGGCGTAGTAAAGTTTTACCTCCTCGGTCCCCATCTAACTCCCTTCACTAGCTGTCAAACCCACCAGAGATGATCCTTACCCTGAATGAACTCTCTTATCTTGGACTCTTTGCTCTCCAGCAACAGGCGCACACACACCGTGGTGAAGTAGCGATTGGCCACCTCCTTGTCCCGCAGGACTCTCTGTAGCAGCCGCTCCAGGTGGGCCTGGGTGGTCTGGAGGCCCTGGCGACACCGTGTCAGGTAGGTGAAGTAGGGTGCCCGTTTCCTGAAGGAGGGAAGACAGCAGGCTTATCTTAGCAGCAGGGCCCACCCTTTACGTCTGGAGGTTTCCAAGGGAATTTTAATAGATGGATTCTGTCCTTGGAATACAAAAAGGGACTCTTTTATGTTTGGAATGGCACCAACCCGGAGAGAGAAGCAACCTAGGAACCAGAGATTAGCTGAATTGGCACTTTGAGCCAATTACAGAAGGAAAGACCGATTACTGCGGCAGCTGAGCCCGGACAGGTAAGGTAATACGACCTCTGTGCATTCCATTTTTATCTATTCGTTGCATGGAGTAGCTGCTGCTAAGGGTTTTTGAGGGAAGCTGGGTTTACAACACGGTCAGGTGTCTCTCTGAAGGACGGGCTCCGTGAACTCCATACAATCTGATGGGAAGCTCCCACAATGCACTGCTGCTCGTCACGCCTGTTAGGGCTAGGGGGTAACCAAAATCCGAAGGCTTGGCAGGAAGCAAGACCATGGTTAGTTAAGCTTCTGAGAGGCACTTTTCTGTGGGAGTGGCAAACCGGTGACTCTTCTCCGTGCCCCAAAGGTCATTCCGAAACCAGAGACAGATTTACCTGTAATCCTCAGCAATTGAGGCCAGCAACTTCCGGCAGGTCCTGTTGTCAAAGCGCCCTACGCAACGCATCGTCTCCTGAAGTTGGGCCATCAGGTTCTTGTCCTGGAGGTTGATGGCTTCGGCCAGCTGAACTTTTAGGAAGCAGACGATTTCGTTGTCTGATCGAGAAGGGGAAGAAGCAAGAGAAGAGAAAGTGGGGGAAGAGGATGCGTAAAACAGCCACGCGGCCTCTTCAGGAGAGCCCCAAAGCTGGGCCAAAATGGAAATAGTGGGGTTCGGGTGGACATCAGCCTTCACATGCCTCTTATGTTTAATCTGGGGGGGAAGGAAGTGTGGTTCCTTTGGGAAAACAAGTCAGGGAGGGTTTACCTTCAGGGTCTGTGTGATCCGGAAGACCGTTCCGCGTGGAATGGGACAACACGGGGAAAGCTACAGAGTCAGCTGAGCAGAGTGCAAGCCGCAGCTTCTTCTTTGCATCCCTGTCAAGGGCAAAAGATTCACGTGCCGCTTGTGAGTAGGGGATAGCTTACCCCAAAAGACCATCTCAGCGCACAGAATTGGAAGACCGGGGCTTCACGTGAAAAATCTCCCCGTTTGATCAAAATCTGCTCTTCGCCACTGCCCCTACACACACTTCTGGAAAGAAGCAAGCCACTGAGCCATTTTGTGGAATACATTTGGCCAAGTTTGGAATCAGATCCTCAAAAACACACATTGGTAATTTACCCACCATAATGGAGGAAAAGTGAGAAAAAGTAGGAAAAGTCTGCTGCAGAAGTATTCTTCAGCAAGTCAACAGTCCACATAGTGAGGAAAAGGTTGGAAAATATTTCCTTCCTTCCTTCCTTCCTTCCTTCCTTCCTTCCATCTTTCTTTCCTTCCTTCCCTCCTTCCTTCCTTCCTTCCCTTCCTTCCTTCCCTCTTTCCTTCCTTCCTTCCTTCCTTCCTTCCCTCCTTCCTTCCTTCCTTCCTTCCTTCCCTCCTTCCTTCCTTCCCTCTTTCTTTCCTTCCTTCCTTCCTCCCTCCCTCCCTCCCTCCTTCCCTCTTTCCTTCTTTCCTTCTTTCCTTCTTTCCTTCCTCCCTCCCTCCCCAGACCCCCAAGGATCCCCCTGCACACACACACCAGCCTCTTTATTTGTTCTCATTCATTCCAAGGCCATTAAGCCTGCAAGGAACTGGCCTACACTTACACAGTGAACTTCGTGGAGGAAGAGGAATCGAATTTGCTCTGCCCAGTCCTAGAATGGCCCCTTAACCACTAAAGAGGAAGCGGAGGGTATCTTCCTCCCTCCCCGCCCAACACAAGCTCCCCAGGCTGTGTTTGAGCCCAGCCACGCCTGCGCCATCAAAGCACCTGTAGGAGAAAGTGGAGTCCTCGGGCTGAGCTGCTTGGCTGGCCGAATCGGGGAGGTCATCGGCGGACATGTTTTGCAAGGCGTCGTGGATGCTTTCGCCGTCTCCGATGGCTTCTAAGAACAAAAGGTATTTGAAATGGCAAGAGCCGGTCAGCGGTTTGCGGCCCTCCTTATCCGCCTGCCGGTCCGGGCTATGGCGAACGGCGAGGGGAGACTCACCGGTGCTGTCGTAGTTGACTACCGCCCCCTCGCTGGGGCTGGCCCGCTTGATGGCGTTCCTGTACTTGTCCAGAATGTCTTCGGCCGCCTGAGTCTGGGTGCTCAGCCGAGGGCCGGAGTCATCTGAGACATCAAGGAAAACCGCAACAGAAATGGGATTTCAGACATTTTTCTCCCCTGGCATAGTTTCAAGGCCAAAGATATCCTGCCCTGGAGGGCAGAGGTAGGTAAACTATAGGTTAACACACCACAAGACCCTCCTTTCCTGCTCTATGCAGCATGAGGCGTGAATCTGAAAGCTGGCTTGTTTCCTTTCCAACAAGCCAGGACTCCCAATCTATCGATCGCGCTAAGCAAAACAAAATCACAGGAGAAGTTTCCATCACTGCCAAGCAGCATTGACTGTACCTTCTGATATATCCTTTTTGGCAGAAAAAGGCTGCTTTTGAAGACTGCTTCCACGAATAATATGCAAAATGACTGAATCTAAATAAATTGATAAGAGGTTAGCAAGAACTGGTTAAAAGAACAGCACTGCCTACAAACCTTGAAGAGGGGGAAATCGCTCGGTGATGAAGTCATCCTTGTCCTTGTCCTGTTTTTCTTTTTTCTAAATG